TTTTTTTTGGCAAATAGACATTAGAAGCGGTTGTAAACTGTTTAACCTTTGCAGAAGCGAAGCAATTATTAAATTTTCGGCCGATCGATCCATCTATAAACAATAACAATAACAATGATACATCATTGCTTGGATTGACTGTGGAAGAACTAAATAAAGCCGTTGAAAACGATTCAAGAGAATTAAATGTTTGTCATCTTAAGATTTTTTGTGTATACACATTAATACTTTGCATTACTTAATAATATTTGTCTATTGTTTTCATTATAAAGAAACATAAAGAAACAGTCTTGAGTTGCATTGAAAACAGATTGACAAGACAGTGCATAGATGTAGCTAAATTTTATTACACTGAAGAAGGTAAGAAAAAGTTAGCATTATTATATTTCAATTATCTTAAATTTATGTGGAATGCTACAGAAGTATTGTATTTCAAATTAGAATCAAAATCCGAAACACAAAAAATACTGTTTACTAAGGCATCTAAATTGGATACAATCTTAACCTCTCAACTTGAGGAATTACGGCTTGCTAAAATCAATAGAATTTTAAATCAAATCCGATTAGGAAATCAAATAACAAATTATATGAATGTAAAGTCTATTATCGTTATGATTTAGTAATTTCATTTGGGGTCTATCTTAAACGTAATATTCCTAATGTTCTTAATAATAGGTAATTAAAGATATTTTATCCATTCTTTGGAATATTATCGAGGAGTTTAAGTTGCGTCATGAATTACAAAAAAACACTATTTTTAACGACTATTTTTCAATGCTTGTTAAAAATATCGGTTTAAAATTGAGGTTTGAATTTTATTTACTTTGTTATTTAGTCTACCCATTTTGCAAAAATTTATGTCGTACAAATCCAGAGTACTTCGATTAAACGCCTTGATTGTTATTTATGATAAAGAAACTGTAGAAGGACTCACGTCAATAAGGTATGCACGTTCTACATATATAAATATATATATACATGTATGTACGTAGTATTATTGTAGTTTCTTTATTATTAAGTTAGATTAAAAAGAAAATTTACATCATATTTATATAAAATAGGGATAATCTTATGCGTGAAGAAAAAGATTATCACCAGGAATTAGATGCATTGGAAGCGCAACTTTCACGATATCAGGGTTTTTGCGGGGAGTTTGAGCAAATTGTGCAATGCTATAATAACTTGAATAAAGAAATTGAAAAAGTGAAAGATGATATTCAGAGAATGACTGTATAATTAAAATACATCCTAAAATAGTGAACGATTTTGTCAAACAAAAAAATGTAAGATGACTTGATTTTAAAAACCTTTTTTTTTAATTTCTTTAAAAGAACGGTAGATTTTTGCCTTAATAAAAGTCTCCACGTTTCATAATTATCTCATCGT